TGATGATGATGATGATTATTCCAGAAAGGCCAGTCTCTTCCCCAGCTCCTGCCTCCTTTGCCACTGCTGTGTAGCACTCAGCCGAGCTGCTGACAGAGCAGGCAGGCGCTGTAGTCGCTGTGCAGATGGAGGGAGGGGGTGTGGGAGAGGAGGGTGGAGGACAGGAAGTGCTGACAGCGACCGACGCTGAGGGCACGGGAGGGGGAGAGGAAGTGACTCATAAGCACCCGGCGGCTCTCGGCCCTGACCACGGGCACCAGTGGGCGCAGGGGGGGGTAGGTACTGTGACAGCCCAGAATTGAATTCATCTCGAGCACCACTTCTTCCTGACCTTGTTTTTGCAGTTGAAGAATCAGCTCGATGTTTCAAGAATTGATACGTCTGGAAAAATGTATTGACGCTCACTGAATCACTTCATGTCATAGATACCCTACCTTCCTTTAAAGAGATTTTGTTTTTGCTCCTACACACTCATGCTTGTGGCCCACGAACAACAAAGCATTTTGCAAGATGCTGTAGATCATAAGGCTAAAACATTTTAGTTAAGTTAATACCACACTATACCTAATACATCACATAAGATGTCTTTATAATATAACAAATTCTGGTCCAGATTCACTTAAAACCCCAGCCTGCTCTCCAAGCTCAATTTTCAAGTACATGATGGCCCGAAGTGTCTACCATCGGCTGTTTGTAAGGGCCAGTGCTGAGATTTCACATGGGACTGAGTTCGTCCACAGCGGTTTGATCTTCTGCACTTCAGAGCATGGGTCAAGGTCTGAGCTGAACAAGACTACATTTCCCAGCACTCCCTCCTCCGACCCTGTGCTGGGCGTTGTTGAAGTGGCTCAATGACTCTTTTTTTAAGAATTGACACGTCTGGGAAAATGCATTGACAAAAGCTGAATGACTTCAGGTAAAAAAAAAACACACCAAGAATGTAATTGCAAAACTCCTCATGAAAATAATGCATTTCTGAAATTTCACAACAGGAAGCCGCTTCAACTGGAAAAGGAATGGAACAGGACTGCAGTCAGTGTGCTGCTCGTCTCCTACCTCTGGAATTCCTGGGAGCTGGGAGTCCTTGGTGGAGGTGGAGATGACACTGTGACCATTGTTGTCTTCCCCTGCAAGAGAGACACAGCCAGTTAGAACACACACACACACAACCGCCCGACACATCTGGGACCCGGCTCATTATCTTCATCTTTTTATCATCACATAGCTTCCTGAGAGCTGGCGACTGCTTCCTGTACAGCTCAGCTCTGCTGCCTGAATTTCAACCCTGCATCGGTGTTCTGAGTCACGGCGACTGTGCTTGCTGTAAAAGGGCAGCCCGAGAGGAAAAACAAATCTCTGTCACGGAGGTGAGAAAACAGATTGAAACAAACCCTGCGTCCCAAAGTCCCCCTTCTGTCGAGAGCCGTGCTAGAGGAAAACCCATCTTCTATACAGAGAAGTTTACGATCCTGGGCCATCGAAGGCTCCTGACAAGACTCGGGCCTCCTGCTCATCTCCGTGTCCAGCTGAGATACTTGTGTGGGCAGCCCCGGAGGCAACTGGCCACGCTTTCACGGAAGAGAATTCCTTCCTGCTGAGTCAGTACTTCCTTACAAGTGGCAAAGCAAAGCATGGATACACTGGGAATGCATTCTAGGAGCTGACCGGCCTCCCAGATTTGTTAGAGTCGTGCTGTGCAGCATCCTCTACCAGTGCGGCTGGGAAGTGAACAGCTGCCTCAGAGGGCACTCAGCTGTGATTCCATCACCATCGCCAGGCTGTCTGCTAGGAAGCGGCAGGTCGAGTCCGACTTTTCTCTCCATCATCAGCAGAGTGGAGCTGCTGATGGAGGCAGTGTCTTCACCAGACCTAAACAGCGGCAGGCCCCAGAGGGCTGGGCTCTGGACAGGAGGGTTGCAAGTTCGAATCCCAGCTGGCCTGCTGCTGTGACACCCTTGAGCAGGGAACGTCGCTCAGACTGTTCTCATTAACACACAGCGGTGTCAGTGGGCCTCCAGGTTAGCACTGCCAACAAGACTCGGTTTTCAATGGACTCCTCTTGCTTCAAATAAGAAATACAAACAAAATAGCCTTAAATTGTGTTTCAAAACTAAGCCACTGGCACACCCAAAGTGCAGTGATTGAATTCCCCCACTGTCGGTGAAATATTACACTTGTTCCCGGTTTCAGTTCCACTCAGACAGGAGTGAAGATTTCCAGACATATGAAATGTTTAATGCAGTAAAATATGAGCAACGTATACTTTGGGGATTATCTTCAGTACTCTGTACTTAGTTGGCATTCATGCTTTCAAGCAGGAGACAACTGTCGGCTTTCAAGCTCAAATTAAATCAAAACTGACGTCGGCACAAGGGCTATATTTAGCCCCGACAGGGAGAGAGCTGCACAGCTGAATTCCCAGTGGGTTCGGAATGACACAAGACGCTTGTGCTGGCCGGGACGGTTTAGCAGAACCAGTCACATCTTAGGATCTCGCAATCTTTCTCCCTGCCGACTTCTGCGGTTCAAGCATGGC